TTCCCCTCTCTTTTTCAAAACTCAGTTTGTATGTATTAAGATTTTAGGATAGATTTAAGAACAAACATTTTGTGTGAGAATTTTATATATCCAAGAGAAGAGTGAATGTGGGTTCCTCAACAGAGAGGGAATCTCCTGAGTTTATTAGCATTTTGAAAATTTTACAGATTATCTCTTGGAAACATTTTGAAAGTATCTGTTCACTTTAGATACTTTGTTGGACACTATACAGAAGTTAAGCCAAAAGAAGAGCATATCAGGAACTTTGAATTATGGGGAATAAAAGGCCACTATTTTTGAGGGCTTGTTGTCAGTTTATAAAGACCTAGCAACTGCTGATTCTCCTGCTAAGTAGATCACCCATTTTGATTCTGCCTGGATCAAGGTCTAGGTTCTCAAAGAGGTTTGTGAACAGCAGACCCTCAGAATAACGTGTCTTCATTTAACCCAGGAATTTAGCTCTTTCTCATCAAGAGAAATTTTGTGATGAGATGAGGAAATAGTCTTTTTCCTTATGCTTTGGAAATCGTTGCTAGGATTGTTGCAGGTGTAAGAATTTAAATTTTTTTAGGTTAAACCCAGCAAGTTCTAACTGTCATAAGTCCTTCACATTAGTAGTTTCTCTTGACTTAAAAATAGAAAAAATAATTCTGGATCAGATACGAAAATATAGTTTGGGCCTTTTGGGACTATTTCTACTTGTATAATACTCAGAATTTCACAAAACTGCAGCACAAATCTATGAACAAGGTTTTTGTTTTTTGTTTTTTTTTTAAGTTTAAGTTTACTGGTGAGTTTGGGGAATTTATTTTGTTTATAAGGAGAGATAATTAAAATTTTTAATTTATAAAGTTTTATTAAATAAATTCTTGACTCTTATTGGCCCGTGAACTTCTTAAAGGAAATAAAAGTATTGAGAAATATTATCTATAAATACCTGAATTCCTAGTAGATGATAATGTCAGTTTAAACCTTTTAAGGAATTTTGTATCAATAAACATAATATGAGCCACCTCCCTGCCCAGAACAGAAGTGGTTGAATGCCATTATGTGAGCAGGTAGCACTGGAACTCCACAGATCTCATTATTAGTCCCTATTACTGCTTAGTGGTATTGTGACTATGAATACAGCTTTGAACACCTCTGAACCTCTGTTTCCTAAACTGTAAGATGGCTAAGAAAATTTGTCTTTGAAGAGGATCGATACAGTATATTGGAAAGGCATATAGTAAAAGGTTTAAAGCTGATAATATATAGTCTTTGCTGCTGTTTTCACATATATAATCCTCATGTGACTCTTGAATGTAGATATTATTCTCTTCTGAGAGATGGAAAAGGCACTATCCTCTCCTCAAATCTAAGGGTGAGTGGCCTGTCTGAGATCCTACAGCCATAGTGGGAGTACTGGCACTTTATACACTGAAAAGACCCTGTCCTCTACCCACAAAGTTAAATGTACTATAATGCCAGTATCACTTAAATAGATAAATACAAAACTAAAATCCTTTCGTGTATCATTGCCTGCTGGAAGGTTCTGAACTTGAATTCATGTTTCTCCTTTTTGTCAAAATGAGAGTCAAGTTAAAGTTAAGAGTGGTATTTAAGATAAACTGCCATTAAAATGAAACTTCTGAAAGTAGTAAGAAAAAAATAGGGGGAAAAATATTGAGAAAGTAAGAATTTTATTAGGGTTTTTGTTTTGTTGTATTTTTTGGAGACAAGGGATCACAGTATGTTACCCAGGCTTGTCTCAAACTCATGGGCACAAGTATCCTTTTTCCTCGGCTCCTCAGCTTCCCAAGTGTCTGTACAAGCACACTTCACTTAGCTAGGATTTTTAAAAATTACATGGCCCTCTACCTCTTAAAATCATTTGATATATCAATATTACAGTGTTACTTTCCTACATGTAACAACCTGCATGGTACTGCTTTAGTATAGATATCTTTTCTTTTTTTTGGTTTGCTTTAGTTTCTAAATATGTATCTGTTTTTTTTTTAAAACAGGGAGAAAAATGAAAGATATTATTGTGTCCTTTTCAATGATGAACACCATTCATATGATCATGTGATATACAGTCTACAAAGAGCTCTTGATTGTGAGCTCGCAGAGGCACAGTTGCACACTACTGCCATAGACAAAGAGGTTCGTGATCACCATTGAATTGTGTTACTGTTTTAACACCAGTTTCTGACTGTCAGGTGTTGACTGAATCCCTATCAGTGCCTTCAGTACTATGTTAGAGGCATCCTCTCCATTTATTCCTTACTTTTAACTAACTTGGTTAAAATTTGTGTGTGTGTGTGTGTGTGTGTGTGTGTGTGTGTGTGTGTGTTTGCAGTGTGACTCCAGACAAGATCCAAAGAGGAAATGTACAGTCTCTTCTCTGGGTTTTATGGAGAGTCCCTTTACCCTTCTGTGTTGGCCTCTTAAACCAGATTAGTAGTTTTAATGCAATGTGTGCCATTCTTCATTTATAACAAGTTCACAGATGGTGCTGATGCTTCTGATTCAAGGACCACATTTTGACTAGAGTCTATCTTCTCTAGCATTTCTCTTCTATATAAATAATTCTTTATTCAAAGACTAAAGATCTGATATGATCATCATATAAACATGAAGCTAGTTTTCTCCTAAGTTTTGAATGACTTCTTAGGTTGGACGTAGTCAAGGAGTGATAATAAATCTATATTAATGTTCACTGGTCTTAGGTTGACTGTGTTTCTATATTACTTAGAACTTCATACAACTTTGAAGTCTTATTCATTCATTCATTTAATTAATTAATTGATTAATTAATTTATCTTAGTTCTCTGGTTGGTAGATCCCTGAAATTAGATTTCACTCTAAGAAGAAAAGCTATAAGAGTTAGGTTTTGAGTAGGAAAGATTGAAATGCATCTTTATCTAGAGTTAAGAAGGCAGAGAGATAGCTCAGTGGTTAAGATCACTGGCTGTTCTTGCAGAGGACTTGGGTTCAGTTACCAGCACCCACGTGGCTGATAACTGTCTGTAATTCTGGTTCTAGGAGATCAGATGCCCTCTTTTGAGCTCCATGGGCATCACATGACACAGGTGCACTTACACACATGCAGGCAATATACTCTTGCATGTAAAATAAAAATGATACGATATTTTAAAAAAAATAAGATGAAGAAAAGAGGAGCCCTGAAGAAGAAGAAAATAAGGATCCTGAGGAATAAGGGAGAAGGGCGTTCTGAAGGAAGACTAGAAAGGTGAAGATTTAGTAGGCAAAAATGAAAAAAAAATAGTAAAAGATAGAAAGTAAGGAGAGCCAGTCAGCAGGAGAAAAGAAGTAGAAAAGAAGGCAGGGAAGAGAAAGAGCAGTGATAGGAAAAGAACAGAAGCAAATGGTGGAATGGGGTGTTCAGCAAGCAGTTTTTTAGTATCAGAACTCAGAAAGGTAACAGGTTAGATCAGGTCTTGGTGCCAGTGTTGCTGTTGTGGCAGTGTGTTATGAATTACAGGAGGAACTTTCAAGGCCAGTCAGGCTTACTAGTTGAACAGTTGAAGCCCAGTCGGATTATCACAACAGTTAACTAAATATGTATTTTTTTTTTTTTTGGTCTTTTTGAGACAGGGTCTCCCTGTAGCCCCAGCTGTCCTGGATTCGCTATGGAGACTAGGCTGGCATCGAACTCACAGAGATCTGCCTGCCTCTGCCTCCCAGTGCTGGGATTAAAGGCATGCGCCACCAAGCCTGGCTCTAAATATGTATTTCTTCAGAAAGTATGAAAGTAGCTATAGTCACAAAAGTGTTAATGAAAACTCTTGAGTATCTCCCCCCTCCTTTTTTTTTTGGTCCTGCTAGGACTTTATTTGCTGATAAAATTGGGTATTAACACATAGGAAAAGTTGAAAACCACTCAAATTGGGCATCCCTATATTGAGAGTCTAGTTTCCCTAGGCAGTGGTCCTCTAACATCTGCTTGAGGACTTAGAGAGTTTGGTTCTCTATCTAACTGCCTGACAACTCTCATTCATGGAAATTTTCCGTTATGTTCAGCCAAAATCTATTTCTGTATTTCCAGACCAATTTCTTTTAGAACAACCCAAAAAAAGATCTTCAGATGGCAACCTATTGAATACTTTAAAAATTATTTGTTTTTATTTATTTTTTATTACCCATTTATATTAGGCCATTTTCATAAGGTATATAATATGCTTTGAGCATATTCCACTCCATGTTCCACTACCTCCCCCAATCCCATTAGTCCCCTTTGCTCCCCAGACAGTTTCGTGTCTACTTTTTTTTTTTGTTTTATTTATTTATTATTTTTATTTTATGTGTATATGTGTATTGCCTACATATAGGTAAGTGCACCCGTGTCATGCATTGCCCATGGAGGACAGAAGAGGCTGTCGGATCCCCCGGAACTGGAGTTACAGACAGTTGTTAGCTGCCATGTGGGTACTGGGATTCGAACCCGGATCTTCTGCAAGAACAGTCAGTCTTCTTAACTGCTGAGCCATCTCTCCAGACCCTTCACGTCTGCTTTTATGTCATCAGTACATATATGATTTTATGTATTCATGTATAGCACCCACCAATGAGAGAAAACATGCACTATTTGTCTTTCTGAACTCAATGATTATGTCCAGTTGCATTCATTTTCCTGAAAATGACAGCTCTGTTTCTCTTTATGGCTGAAAAAAATTCCATTGTGTATATATACCACATTTTATTTATCCATTCTTCTGTTGTTGAGCGGCATCTAGGTTCTCTGTACCTTAGCAGTTGTGAATAGTGCTGTAGTAAATACTGATGTGCAAGTATCTCTCTGATATGCTGGCTTGGCGTTTTTCAGGTAAATACTGAGGAGTAGTATAGCTGAACCATGTGATAGAAAAAAAAGATCTATAATTTCTTCCCTCCTATGTCTACCTTCCTTCATTTTCTTCAGCTACTTGTCTAATATTAATAAGCTCATACTGGCCAAGATTTGTTTCCTTCTTTCTATCTTGTCCCCTTGAATAAATAGCAGCTTATTAAAGATCTTCTTACTGTTTATTCTGCCAGGTCATTAAACATTTACATAGGTTCTTCTCTGCCATTGTCATGAAGGATAGTCAAAGCTTTCAAAGATGTAATAATGTTTTTTCTTGCCTCACATGGTGGTGCACGCCTTTACTCCCAACACTTGGGAGGCAGAGGCAGACAGATCTCTATGGGTTTGAGCCCAGCCTGGTCTACATAGCGAGTTCCAGGCCAGCTGGGGCTACAGGGAGACCCTGTCTCAAAAAGAGTAATAATAATAATAATAATGCTTTTTCCTAGTCCACATTTTGTATCTTATGTATTGTTCCTCTAGTATTACTGTAAGCTACCTTGATTTTAGAACTCTTGAGAAAGCATATGCCAGTGTGCTAAACCAACTTCCTAAGAGAAGAGATGGCCTTGTTGGTTTTCATATGGAATGGAGAGATCTAGGTCTTTGAGTGTCTTCTATACTTTTCCTCATCATCACCACCACCTCAACTTTTCATTTTAATTTTTGGGTTAGAAATATATTTTGGTTTTTAAAGTATTTACTATTTTTAAATTTTATGTGTATGAGTGTATTGCATGAGTGTTGTGCAGTGCCCGAGAAGGTCAGAAGAGAGTATTGGATCTCCTGGAACTGGAGTTCTGGACAGTTGTTAGCCACCATGTGGGTGCTGGGAATCGAACCCAGGTCCTCTGCAAGAGCAGTCAGTGCTCTTAACCACTGACCCATCTCTCCAATCCTGAAATATATCTATTTTGAACTGAACTTCAAGTAATTCAAATTTTATGACTATACTTGGTAAGGTGGTCATTGCTGAGGTTACTATAGCTCCTTTGTGGCTGTCTTTTAAAGTCAGGATCAACCTAGTGACTGACGTGGAAAATAGAATATGTTGCATTGTATCAATTCTAACTTTCAAGATAGGAATTTTAACACATATATTTATGAAAGAATGTAGATTTTCTTTCTTATCCATTGGGTTGATCTGGATTCTTTCTTTTCTGCCATAACACATGAACAAAGTAGAGAAGATTTCTAAAGAAAGTAACATCTAATTCCTATAGCCCAAGTCACTGCTGTTCCCCTTTTCTTCCCCAGTCTCATAACTCTCTTATATGTAAATAATTTTCCTGAAATTACTTACTTGACTATCTTCTACCTCCATGGAGAATACCTAAATTAATGTTAATATATCAGTGGTTTTAATTTTAGGTACTTGGATTTGGAATGATTTTTGGAATCTTTTCTTATATTTTTTTGTTTGAATCCTAAAGAATCTTAAATTATGTAATTTTTGTGTGTGTGTGTGGGTTTTTTTTGTTACTTTTTGTTTTTTGAGAAAGGGTCTTCCTGTAGCCCCAGCTCACTTGAAATTTGTCATATAGACCAGGCTGGCCTTGATTTCACAGAGCTTCACCTGCCTCTGCCTTCCCAATGCTGGGATTAATGGTATGCTCAAAAGAGGGTATTGGATCCCCTGGAACTACAGGTACAAATGGTTGTTAGTTGCCATGTGGGTGCTGGGAACTGAACCTGGGTCCTCTGCAAGATCAGCCAGATTAACCACTGAGCCATCTCTCCAGCCCCTTATGTAATGTTTTTAATAAAAATAATAATTCTAAGCTGGGTGTGGTGGCACATGCCTTTAATCCCAGCACTCAGGAGGCAGAGGCAGATGGATCTCTGTGAGTTCAAGGCCAGCTTGGTGAGTTCCAGGCCAGTTGGGGCTACAGGGAGACCCAGTCTCAAAAAGACAAAAAAAAAAAAAAAATTTTACTTTAAGAAAATTTTTTGCCAATCTCAAAAAAAAAAAAAAAAAAAAAAAAATTCTACTTTAAGAAAATTTATTGAATTAATTTTAAATTCAGTGGTTTCTAAAGTGTTACTCTTATTAGATATGAACCCTTCAGAGGGTTTGGAAAAGAAAGCCCTCTGTATTCATAAATGTTAAGACTTAGTAACGTATGATTTTTAAGAGCTTTAATTAACGGGAACATTAAATTAAAGATTGCCAGCCAACTTCAAATATATTAGAAGTAGGGGTAGGGGAAAGAAAGGAAAATGAAATTCCCATATATTTTGAAAAACTGCCAATCTTTAATTATCTCCTCCTACCTTTGCCCCTCCCTATTTGGCATTTAAAAATTTTATGAAATCTGTTTGCACACTGGTTATGTAACAGGTTTCTAGAACATTTTTATCTTTTTTTTTTTTTTTGGGGGGGGGGTCTTTTTTAGACATGGTCTTCCTGTTGCCCCAGCTAACCTGGAACTCACTATGTAGACCAGACTGGCCTTGAAGTCACAGAGATCTGCCTGCTTCTGCCTCCCAGTGCTGGAATTAAAGGTGTGCACTACCATGCCCCGCCTGAACATTTTTATCTTGTAAGACCAAAACTCTATATCCATTGAGCAGCTCCTCTTTTTCCCTTCCCTCCAGTTCCTTGCACCCACTCTTCTCTCTTCTAAGAGTCTGACTGTTTTAGACAACTCATTTAAGTAGATTCAGGTAGATTTTGCCATTTTCTGACTGTTGTCTTTTACTTAGTGTAATATCCTCAGAGTTTATCCGTGCTGTAGAATATGATAGGATTTTCCTCTTTCTTTAGACTAATTAATATTCCAATCCATGTGTATACCATCTTTTTCGTCAGTTTGTCCATCAGTAGATGCAGGGTGTTTCCATCTTTAGCTGTTATAATGGTACTGTTGCAAATATGATTTTACAAATACTTGTTTGAGCCCTTGCTTTCAGTTACTTTGAGT